GGGGCATCGCGATATCACTGGACGAGCTCATGGATGGAAAAGCGGAAACAATATTCCGGAGTCACATCCGGTTTGGGTCTTGACAGCCGCATCGAGGACGAGGTCACTTCAAAAGGCAGATGATGATGATGATGGTGAGGTTGTTGCTGGTGGTCTTGATAGTAGTAGTAGTACAGCTGTACCTGCAATTACAAGAGTCAGTACAGGGATGTGCATGGATGATCTGTGTTTTCTTTTTGACAAGAGTTTTTAATTTTGAAAAGTCTGTTACATATTTAGAAAATAATGCATGTTATATAGGGTAAACTGGACATTAAAAATACAAAATTATTTTATCAGATTTTTGTAGAAATATTCCAAGTTTTCCAACGTATCAAGTCACAGACTAGAATGAATCTTACCTAAACTGCCTACATTTTTATGTAGTTTAAGAGAAACTACTTAAGAGAAATCTCTGCATTGACAGATAAGGTTATCATAAAATATTTTTATTGCTTTTCATTATATATATATATATATATATATATATATATATATATATTCAACATGTTGTTGAAATGTATTAAGTATTTGAATACGTTCTTATCCAATGGGTATTTCTGTTGTAACCATATCTGTGTAACATTCTGATATTTACAGCGTAAAGTGGATTATTTATTTTGGTTTTACAGTACCTTTGTATATATCACACACATTTGGAAAATTTAGGATATGCAGGTACCTTTTGCTTCCTAATACAGACTCTTATACAAAGTGATTGGAGAGCACAAAAATAATACAGATTCATTTGGACAAACAAAATATACATTTTAAGGGTTTAGATTAAGGTCTGAATTATCAAATTAAGTTACTGTGAGTTGGTAATGACTAGATTTCCTATTTTTAATATTAAAAATGTATTCGATTTGGCTTGTTTTTGAGGTTATCAACCATGCTTGATGAAAGGAAGAGAAGGAAAATGTGATTTTATATAAACATATTATAATGGGATTTGTGATCTCACACTGAAACTGCTTCAAATTCAATCTTCTGACTACTGTTAATGTAACGAGTTATAATAAAAAGCAGCATGGAGAATGCTAACTAAGAAAGGGAGAACAATGATTGCAGTATATCGTTACATGTCGCCTTAGATCGGTCCCGTCTCTAGGTATTTAATGTATCCTTAAACAGAAAATAAGGATAACTGCATTCACCCAGTTTTAAGAGCCGCTCTTAATTCTTCTGATATCTGTTAAGGCAGTTTTAATTAGTTATGTTACATTGGTAACCTATGAGAGCACATTTATGACATTCTGCCTGCAAAACATTAAGATTGACAAATAGTAATGGAAATCAAAGTTTACATAAGTTTCTTCTTTTTCAATAATATTTATTTGTTTACCAACTCCTTACTTTTATTTCCTATTATTCCTAGTCAACACAGAATTCCAAACATTTTTCAGCCGTCTACAGCATAACACTAGTAAGACTTGGGTTAATCATATAAAACCCGTAAGATGCTTCAGAAATACTTCACACTATTCTAATAATTTTATACTGGCCCAAATATGATACTCATCAAAAACTTGTTTTTCACAACAATATTTAAAGAAGTTTCTAATACCGCTCATGTAGCACTGAATTTGTGTTTACTCCTAATGACAATTTAAGGATCATTTAATACTCTCATTTACAATTTGTACACAAAAAAAAAAAAACTGAATGAGTGCATTGAGTGAATTGAAGTCAGTGAGGATGAGTTTTGAATGAATTCTGTCAAGTTTTAAGCACATTAAAGATCGCATTTTTACCTCCAGTCATTAATAAAATTGTATCCAGGCGTGACACAGTATTGTTTAAATCTTTCTTTTTTTAATATGTGTCCCAAATGTTTATTATATTCAATTTTTCTTACACATGTTCAGTTTTCCTTGTATTAGTGAGAAAGTCAAATATAAAGCATAACATTTTAATCACAAACTGGTTAAAAAAAAAATACACTGTGGTAGAATTTGCAAAGTTTATGCTGTGAAAAATGTGTAAAATATTCAATAGCTCATTTAAAGCTACAGTATATGTGTCCAATTATGTGACACCATTATCATGAATATATTCAAGACAGATTTTAATGCAACAGATAATGTTTAGGATACCCATACAGTAGATCATTACAAAGTTAATTAATACAACAATTCAAGTAATACAACAGCAGCCAGAAAAGTTATTCATTTCAATGGTCAGCCATTGTAGTCCATAATGATATTTGTCCAGATTAAGGCCTTTTTCTTCAATGTATCATATGTTTTGATTTACCTGTTATTTTCACTTAATATGTTGAACTGTGGATCATTTCTTGGAAAAAAAGACTCCTTCACAGTGAGTAGTCAAAATTAAAAGGCACATATAGTAGACTTCTGTAAGGTTGACTGAAGATTAGGGAAAGCCAACTGCCATGAAACTTCTGTAGCAATCTTTTCCTGTTTCCTGTTTTTGAAAAAGGAGTATACAAATTTATATACGTATTTTAGATTCAGTATCTTAGTCCTGCTGCCTAGCATGTTGAAAGCATTAAAAAAATAATAAAAAAAAACATCTTCTCACTGCTATACCCAGGAAACACTATAAACACAAGTCATGCCAGATGTAAATTTATCAAGAAACATCAATTTATTGTTAACATTCAGTTTAGTGTAATACCTTCTGCACTGTCATGGAGTTTCCTTCCCCAAACGATTTCAAGCAGACCTACTGCAGGCTATTAAAGTACTTGATATAAAAAGAACACACAGTTAGAGAAGGTACTTTATATCCTAATCTAAACCCACTTGTTATGATTAAATCACATACATTATACATTGGAAACCACTTATAGTGATCATGGTTATAGTAATCAACCACTTATATACAGTGGTACCTCTAATCCGTTCAGAATTCCAGATCAAATCCTAAAATGTTCGAATTCTGATCGAATTTTCCCCATAAGAAATAATGGAAAACCAATTAATTGGTTCCCGGCCCCAAAAAATTACACCGGATAAAACAAGAAGAGCATATACTGTACTAAACACATCTAAGAACATTTATCAAAACAGTAATTTGTAAAGTAAGAAAATAAATGTATCCAAACAATGAGTAAAGTTTAAAAAAAAACGTGTCCTGCCCCAAACGTCCGCTCCTTCCGTGTGGAATCCCTGTGTGATCAGCTGTTTCTGGTTGTTTTTATTAGCTTTCTGTATTTCGTCCGCGTTTGTTGGTTTCCCCTGTCCGGTCATTGTATTGTCCGTCTATGTTTTTACCTGCCTTACCTGTAATTAAACCCCGTATTCCCCAATACCCTGACGTCTGCGCCTTTGTCTCCGTTCTGTCCCCGCTCCACACGACTATGTAAAGTATGCATTAATGGTTTATTATTAATATTAAAATAATGAATAAGAAATCTTTATTTTAAAATGTATTTTGTTATATAATAATAATTACTGTTACTGTCTATCATTGTCTAAATGTATTTTTACTGTCTAAATATATGTATTCAGCTAGTGTAAACATGCATGATGATATCACAGCGAATGCGAGACTGAGACTGAAGCTTTACCCTTTGTTTCCGCTGAGAGACATGCCGCGTGACTCATTTCCCCGCGCGTACAAGTTATCTTAGGTCGGTGTTCACGGTTTGACTTCTGAGATTCAGATCAAGCTCTAGGTATTTTTTTTTTCGAACTGGTTGGTTCGACTTCTAAGAAATTCGAATTCCAATGAGTTCGAGAACTGAGGTACCACTGTACATCAAACATTTTGGAACAGAATCAATCCTGTACAAATACTGTTTAAATGATTTGCTTGTAGTAATCAAGCAGTCCGGCTACAGTGTTCATTTTGGGATTCTTTATTCATGACAACATATGGAGAAAGGAAAAACAATGGTAATTTTTTTTTTTATTTTACTTTGATAGCCCTCCCCACTTTGCCTTGTGGTAACCTGTCTGCATCTGGCTAGCTAGGCTACCTGAGGCTAATGCTGCGAACACAGAAAACATGACGGGAAAAAGAAAGCAATTTTCTCTCAATGACAAATACAGACTCAAAGCTTATGATAAACTGCCAAAAACAAGCCAATGAGATGCAGAAGCAAAACTACAATAAGATGTATTTTATGTACAGTGCTATACTGTCATAGTATATTTTAATTATACACAGTTCAATAATTTAAATGGTACAATACTGTAATTTGAAAAATGTTTGAAACAGCATTAACATATTTTTAAAGAGTCAATAAAATTCAGTAAATAGCGATGCTCTCCATTTTATTACCTTATATGCATGTATTAAATATACAAATGTCATTTAGATGGTAATCTGCCTGAGACAAAGAAAAATCGGTTATAATGATCATCCATTTATAGTGATCAATTTCACCCAGACAGATGTGATCACTATATGAGGTTTCCACTGTAGTTATAATTACTTTATTCCCATAAATCAGTGATTTTTTTTCAGTCCTAGTTCTAAGACCCATAAGCAGGTCCACATTTTTTATTATAGTCTTCCAGCTGCATATCTGAGGCAGCTGCATTCTAAAATAGTGTGACCACCCTAAAAATTGTACCTTCAGCCCATTTATTAGTTTCTCCTGAATCATGGTAACCCTGTAGTTTATAGCACATGCATTTGGTTACAATGTCTTAAGGTCTTTACAACTTCAATAGAGAGTTACCTGTTCATCTATGTTTTGCGGCAGCAACCTTAAAATAAGGAAAACTTATATATAAGGTAGTTTAAATACGTCTGGTAAAAGGAGTCAATGCACAATTATGCTTATAGAATAAATAGTTTTTACCTTTGAAGTGTTATGATTAACACTCAAATTTCTGTTTAGCCTGATGCTTTCATAGTATTGTATAATTAATTTACGCTTTTGGTTCTGTGAACCAAATATGTTATAGTTGACAAACAGTTTTTTTCTCTTCTGTTGGAGTGGCCCTGACAAGGTCAGAAGAAAACTGTGATCCAGACTTGCGATGACAGTGTTAACCCCAAAGCCTTGGGGCTTAATATGGACAGCCGAAACCAACCACCCCGAACTCGCACACAGAAAGCGACACTCTGCTTTTTCTCCACCAATGTTTGCAAAAGAATATTCTCTTGTTTGATCGCCTTGAGCTCCTGTGAGAAACAGAAGTGCATCATTTCACAATTTGGCTTTCCACTCAGTAAATCAACATGCAACAGAGTCCTCCTGGCTTATTTAAGATGCAGGTCAGATATTCCAGTTGAGATTTTTATTAATTACGCTTTATTGAGTTGCTAGTTATCAGTTAAATAATTTAAAAATAAAATTAGTTTTTGAGGACTTCTTCAAAGCTTTAAAGTGCTTTTTAAATTTCTTTTGCTGATTTGCTTAAATTCATTTATGACATTTCTGTTTTGTTTGTCTTGTTCCTAATATTACATGTACCATTTACTTTGTTAAAATTTTAAAATCTTCATATTTAGGTAGGAAAATACTTTTTAAAAAGTACACAAAAAATATGCCAATTTAGTTGTAGGGCTGTTACTTGTTAACCGATGTTCGAACGAATGGGGAAAATTCATATTTGAACTATAAATTATCCCATTCAAATTGTAAAGTGTCACTGTAGCCTATAAGGACATGTTGTTGTAAATCCCTCACAATATTTTTGCGATCACACTGCACTTACCCACTATAGCTATTTGCTGCGTGACGGCATGGATAAAACTGAATAATACAGACGCCCTGTAAAGTGCTTTAAGCATTCAACTATGGGGAACAATCTACATAATGTAACTTTATTATGTGTTTTTACACGTATTTTTTAAATAATTGCACCAATCACCACCAGTGACTTTAAGCAAGACAGCTGGGCTACTGAACGTGAAGTGCACACACAAACACTGAAATATTTTCCAATCACTGAAAGGTATTACAGAAAACTTAATAGAAAAGCTCACCTTAGCGCGGTGTTAAGGTTTAAACTCAAACCCACTAACGAGAATATTTCAGTATAGATCCGCATATCCCCACATACATCAAGTGAAAATACCAGGGAGGTATACCCGAAAGTGGTTTTGGCTTTAAGCCTTAAATATGACACCCCTTTAAATTTAATTTTGCATCCAGTTTTCCGGCTGTAATATCGTTCAACAAAAGTAAGCGACACCTCTTTATTTTCCAGATTTCTTTATGAGCGAATTTTAATTAACATTTCAATGTTTGTTCGTGCACTTCACGTTCAATAGCCCAGCTGTCTTGTTTACAGTCACATGTGGTGAATGGACACAGTACAGTTATTAATAAAGATGTATATTTGGCATTTAATTAGTCTCAAAACTTGTGCACATAAAAACCAAACGCGCGTACTGTATATCCATCCTCACTACACAGTCACGTCTGCACAACACTCGCTCACTCGGTATCAAATGACTGAAAACCCGGACCACTACGGAACGCGCAGAATACGAGTAGCATACACGTTAACAACACATTAACTACGTATTGTTAACGTATATTCTACTCATATTCTGTACGTTAAAATTAACATGTTTTGACCAGTCTGGGTCCACAGTTCCATAGTGGTCTGGGGTTTTCAGACTAATTTAACACCGAGCGAGCGAATAAAAAATGTTATATAATGTATACATGTATAATACACGTTAACAACACGTTAACTACGTGTTACTTACGTGTGTTCTACAGTACGTGTTAAAATTCATGTTTTTGAGCCACAACCGATTTTTGCTACCGAATTTTTTTTTTAGATTAATCTATGAACAATTTTATTAATTCGGCTATTAATCTAAACGATTAATTTTCCTTAAATTAACTTAAACGGTGAACATGTTGTTAATGTGTATTCTACACGTATTCTGTGCTTTAAAATTCGCATGTTTTTGATCTGTTTCGGGTTCCATATCGAGCGAGCGCGAGCGCATATAGAGAGGATGGGTTTCCTGCTCGCCAGAGCATACGCGTGCGAGGTTTCATGTGCACGAGTTTGGAGACTAATTAAATGCCATACTATAAAAACACACATATGAAAGTTACATAGTCCCCCACAGTTTAATTGTTACAACATACTTAACTGGACAGGTTCATAGGTTTATTTATTTATGTTTAGGGTTCATATACTTATTCCATTAATTCTATGTTTTGTACTTGAAATGGACAGAGTGCAGTAATTATTATATAGTAACGCAAAACTAATGCGATGGATCACAAAACTATTACGTTGGAACGCAAAGGTATTTCTAGGGAACGCAAAACTATTTTAGAAAATATTTTCCCACCCTGACCCGTTGGCCGTGCTATACAAATGTGACATAGTACAGACTCTCAATAAAATACTGAAAAGAATGATTCTATGTTGCATTTTTTTTTTTCGTGGAGGGGCAGGCGGCAGGTATTGAAATATTTTCAAATGAACTAAATGACATTTCAAATTCGTTTGAACTTCATTTTTGAAAAAAGTGACATTTACATAGACATTTATGATACCTTTGTAAACTCTTCTTTTAGAGGTCAGTAATCTTTCTGTGCTGGAAAAGACCCCTTCACACCTGACAAGGTGTACAGGCCATTTCGCTCTTTGTCCTTCCTGAGCTCCATGTCCAAACAGTACCTGCATCATATACTTTTCAAATTTTTCATTTAATCTAATAAAAAGTAATCAAAATTACACTGATAGATTATGCAAGATCAGGCATAGAGATTGCTACGGTGGATACAGAGAAATTTAAAAACTAAAAAACTACAAGAACTCATTCAGTCATTCACACCAGATTCTAACTGAAATTGCGACATTCTGATGACCAGTGCTCAGACAGCCCACTTCCACAGAGCTCTGACCTTTAAAAAAGAAAAACAGGTGATACACACAGTACCTCTCCCTTCTTAGTTTCTCCACCTCCAGCTGCAAACTCTCGATTTTGTCCCCAAATTCCTGCTTAAAGAGCTGATTGGTCTCATGGGCAAGATCCCGCCCCAGCTCGGCCTGTTGGAATCTGGATTTGAGCCAGATGAACTCATGACAGAACAAAAATCAGCCAGAAATATTTATAAAAATAATGGAATGGTAAAATAACCAAAATGGAAAGCTGAAAATAAATATAAAAAGGGTGGCACTGATGAATTTTTCACAAAGTGAACCAGGCCTTTTTCCCCCATTTTATTGTGGTATTTTATTACAGTTCACATCTATGTTAAATCAACAAACATTTCCACTTTTCCCTTGCACTGTAAATACAGTAGAATTGTAATTAAGACTTTCATATAAACAATAAAACATTCATTTAGATTGTTCAAGATTACGTTTTAAAGAGTTCTTGAGTTTTTTGTGTCACGTCTACCTAGCAGTTCTGACTAATGATACTGGTTAGCAATGTCAATTAGGCACATCAGCAAACCGTAAACTGAATAATTCATTTTACTTCTCTCCTTTTCAGTTCCGGTTAAACCTCCCCGTACAACATTATATTTCCGCCAAAGGGGACATCAGCTTACCCAGGCGAAGGCAACTAAAATTAAAAATAGATGCAATATTCTAACAGCAATTCTGTTGTAAACAGTAACATATTTGTTGAACCAAAGGTAATTCAACCAAAATGGATATCATATAACATTTATTTTTGGTTTTTCTTCTCTGGTATATGCTGAAGATCAAGCTGAAGCTTTCATTGCCAAATTAAAGCTTCTGGAAGATCTCGCTCTATCCAGAAAATGGTTGATCACATCATGTATACTGTTCCACAATTTAACATCACCATTTAGGGGGATACAACAGACAGGATTATATTTTATGTATTTTGTTAATGTGCTATAAATACACATCAACAATTTGTTGCTTGATATACAATATTTAAGCAATGGCTGTCTTATTACTTCGCCCTGTTCTGATACGCTCCTTTAAAGCAGACTGTCAGACACTTCCACACAAAAGTGTATCCATAGAAAAGGCAAGGTAAGGTAACATGTGGAAGTGGGAGAGACATCCATTTCTACACTAGCCAAGTATCTGTAAGGAAGTGTGAGTGGTAATAAATGAAGGAACAGAAAAGCTTTCAGTGAAAGCAGAGTTTAAAAATTCTCTTATGGCATACTGACCCTTTGCTGAGGACACTGCAGTTCTAACATTTAGGCAAGAAAAGAAAAAGGCTGCTTTAGTAACCAATAAACAAAGCAAATGTAGAGAAGTCCGTGGAGAAGTGGGAAGTGTTCTACAGCTGATCAAAGAACTTTGAAATAAATATCCTAACTCAGACATTTATATATTGCACTATAATAATAATAATATTAATATTAATATTAATAATAATAATAATAATAATAATAATAATAATAATAATAATAATAAAAAGTTAGTATCAGATTTAGGAAACTATTAGTTGAAGGTTTGCTTTGTTGGCCTAATGCGGTTTCTGAAGGAGTTTTTCTGCTGCAGTATTAAGACTTCTGGCCTGTTTCACCATATCCTTTTCACTAATTATAAAGAATCATGAAATGGAAATAATGAAGACATAATGATAAAACAAAGCGATAAAGACAAAAAGAGCAGAAAAGAACATCATTTATGTCACAGGTGACCAATCAGCCCACTTTTGAGGTGAGTAGAATTTAATTAAACATATATTATTTCAATTTGGACATCGATATGGAGCAATGAGCGTAACCATGATTACATGGTTTCTAATATTTGAGTAATATATTATAGGAATCACAACACAAGACCAGTTCAAAATGTAAGTGTTATAAAAAATTTGCTTACATTTTGCTGCATTTTGCAAGTGCCAATCATTAGTAGAAAAACAGCATTTGAGCTAGATGAATGCGAGCGGTACATTCAGGCTCCTACCTCAGCTCCAGTTGTTTAATTGTCCCAGCCATCTGGTTTGCGGTGTCATCTAAACGGCTGGTGATTTCATTCTTCTGCTTCATGGCTCCATCAGAGGTCTGCATTTACGTCAAAACACAGTATATTTTAAAACAGCAATATAATAAACTTTCCCACAATCAGGGATGGACAAGTCAGTTGGCATAACGGGTATTTTCCTGGTGGGCCAATGGCTTTGTGGGCCCAACCCCAGTTCAGCCCTGCATACAATAAACAAACAATAAGGAAGGTAACAAGATACTAAGGTGAACCATTAACAAGATCCTCACATACATTTATCGCAACACACAAGCACAGAAGCTTACCTACATAAGAGAAGGAATTATTTTGGCATTATAAGAATTATGTGGGAGGGTTTATCTTTTTAGCAATTTAATTGGCTGGGAAGTCAGTCACACAGTGCCCTAAACATGCCACCCCCTTGACCCTGACCAAGATAAGTGTGTATAAAAAGGTTAAAAAGTTAATGTAGTATCAGTTTAGTCTATATTGGTATTAGTCTTGATAATCATCTTGTAATATCATTGGTAAATTGTATTTCGGCATTTTGGGGTGTCAAAAAAGACTAAGATGTTTCCTTACATTCATCGTACTGTTTTTTTTTCAAAGTCCTTCATGGACGTTTTCCTACCCCTTTTTCCTCTAGGTGTAACTCCAGTTGGACGAATCTGAAGGTGACGGTACCTGTAACTTATGGGAGAGCTCCTGGTTGAGAATTCTCAAGTCATCCAGTTGCTGCCTAAGTGCCAGTAAAGCATTCTGTTTCTCACAAACATCCTTCTCCAACATCTTCATGGAAAGCTCCATTTCCTGCTTCATGCCGATCTGAACCTCAAGCTCCTTTTCCACATCCTGGTTCATACATAATGAGAAGACTGATCTCTGGTTATGCTAATGTAAAAGAACGCTAAATTTATTAGTTCATACAGATTATGTACACCTGGAGTGTTCAATCCAAATAAAACAACAACAACAACAACAACAACAATCTATGATATACCAATGAAAATTAAAAATTTAATACTAGGGATGCCCCGATCCCACTGATACCGATACCTGGGCTTTGGGTATCAACCGATACCGAGTACAGATCCAATACCAGGGTTTAGTTAATTAACTAATTAGGTAATTAGTTAATTAACTAATTTAGTTTTTGCTTCACTGTGTGGAAGAGACTGATCATTCTTTTATGTGTAAGGCAACATCAGTCTTAAATTAAACCTCAAACAAAACTTTCCTAACTTTATTAAACAAAATGTAATATACATATATATATACATACATATACATTATATACATATACAAATAAGTTACTTAGTTATAAAAGAAGCTAATGTTTGTTGTTGCGGTCTTTCTGCTAGCATTAGCAAACTTTGTGTACTCTGAGCTATGGTTAAATGTTAGATCAAATGACGTGTTGTCCCTTACTCCTCTTGCCACGTTAGCAGAAGAGAGCTTACTGTCTGCTTCACTTCTGTCATCATCCCTTATCTAAAAATATGCCCAAACTGCTGACATCCTCCACGTATACTCCACAGTTTGCCAATGCCGGTGTTCTCTGCATTTATCCTTCCTAAATGTTTCCAGTTGACAAATTTCTTGCTAGATGCCAAAATCTGATTGAGCGGCAAAAAAAATGCTGCAGCTTTGAGTTTTAACATTGCAATTATGTGGTATCGGTTCTTGGTATCAGACAATTTCTACAAGTACCAGTAAGAGCATATGAGCGCAGTATTGGCCTAATATCCAATTGCGATATTGGTATCGGTGCATCCCTGTTTCGAATGTTGTGTGGCAATATTGATGGTTTAATAAATTGTACTGCCAATTAGACTTTTCTGGTCACTAGAACAAAACAACGCACCAAACGCAGTCGAGTTTCCTCTTTGATTTGTTTCCGTGCTTCTCCAAGTACTTGTCCATTGGCACTTCCATCTGATTTTGACACCTGAATACAGAAACATTAAAACATGGTTGAAAAGTCAGCAGGAATAAAAAATAAGTTTTTATATACAGTAAAATCCCATTATAGTGGACTCGCTTATAACCGAATACAGTCTATAACGGACGAGGTCCGCTGGTCCCGGCCGTGCGCCTTTAAGAACATGCAGAAAAAGCATTGGATATAGCGGACTTGCATATAATGGAATTTCGCTTATAACGGACAAACAATTCGGTCCCCAGCTGTAGTTTTGTTCGGCTATAACGGACATGCATTTTGTATATTGTCACTGTCCAATGAAAAACATGCATCTCCAAAGCATTTTTTTCAGAAACTACAAAATAAACCTAAATAAGCGTAGACACCCTTAGCACCATGGATATAAACCTCTTTATACAACGGTCAGTGAATGTTTTAATGTTCAATTCACTTATGTGTTTTATTGTCAATGATGTCAATGTCAACAAAATAGAAACTAATGTTCACTTCAGTTAGCTAGTGATCTAGCCATTAACTTAATTAAAAAATTAGTGGTATAAAGTAATTCATATGAATGACCATCATGAATACAAATGTTAATTAGTACAAACATAGAAACAGTAGCTAAACAGAGGACTTAAAAATAGTTTTCAGTTAGATGTCAAATGCCTTCAGGATGTTTTATACTGAAGTTCAGTATAAAACCTACTGACAATTCAGAAATTTAATACTGTTAAAAAATACTACAATAAAATGGGGGGAAAGGCCTGATTCACTTTTTTGTTCAGATAATTCAGAACTTTCAAGGGGCAGTTCTCCCCAAAACTGAAAAACAGATGTTTTAGAGTGGCTTTAGTGCTATCGGTTTAGGTTGTTTTGCTGGGAGTTATCTAGTTTTGAAGATATCAGCCGTAGAAATGTCAGTTTTCTCTGGAATATAATGGGACTGAATGGCATTCTGCTCGATATTGTCTCTTGGAATAAAAAATATATGCAACTAAGTAAAAATGTTCTAGTGCAACTTATTGATGGTTTCAACCCAGCAGACTATTGCAGTCCTTGTGATGTGACAGTTGAAAGTGCATGAAATGGCATGTCACTATTAACATTGCACATCTTGCAAGCCTGTAAGGGCAGCACAGTGGCGCAGTTGTACTGTCACCACACAAAGACACTGTTTCTACAATTTGTATGTTCACCCAGTGTGTGCGTGGCTTTTCAGCAGATCTTCTGGTTTCCTTCCACTTATCAAAAATTTGTAACTTAATTGAATTGGAGTGCCTAAACAGACCTTATGTGTGACCGAGCATGCACCAATTGCGATGTAGTTCACGAACGCAATCCGTTCCAGGAATGTGGTCGGGAAACAATTTGTACGCGAACCAAGGCAATTTTTCCCATAAGAAAGAACAAGCCTACCAAATAATAGTTTTTGTTAATTAAATTTCTGGCTTTTATAGTAAAATCTTTAAAGAAAAACACAATATAGTGTGGCGACAGGTAGACCGAGGCATCGCGGGAGCAAAGAGAGACATGGAGACTTGCTTGCCGGGGAAATCATGCTTTTTGTTAACAGTCCTTAAAGCCCTTGTATTGTTGTTGTTGTTGTTAATGCTAATGGTTGCATTTTTCTGTTGTTGCATGTGTGTTTGCCAGTGTCTTGTGTATACCTGGTTCGATTTGGCGTATGTAAATCTTCCACCGTGTGTGCATCTTGCAGTTCAGCGTCTGACAACCTCGTGTTTCCCGTCTGTGTATTTGGGTTTGGTGCTCGTTGGGTGCCTGTTGTGGTCCTGCTACTTACAGTTGCACGCAGGGCATGCTGGGACATGTGCCCCACCGGTGCTATACTAGTATATAAAAAGGAATCTAGGCGAGGAATCTGTTAGTTGACCAAATTTTGTACGCGAACCAATGTATTTTTTTCACAAAAATTTTGGTCGCAAACCAAATTGTTCGTAGGCCACAGCGTTCGTGAACCGCAGGCACCACTGTATTATAAACAATTACTTGATGAACCATCAGATTAAATCAGTAGATTATTTGATTATTGATATAACCCATTGTGACAGCCATAGTTGTCAAACACATCCCACATTTTAATATTTTTGGGCAGATTACATTATATACAAAACATATACTAATAAAATATTATATGTTCCTGTAGGTGCATGATCTTAGGACCTATATTAGTAGTGTTGGAATTGGTAAGTACATGTTTACACACACCTTGCAGGTGGACTCCAGAAGTTGAGAACTCTCTTCCTTTACCCGTTCTACATCTTCCTGTAGAGTTATGATCCTGTTATTTGCAACTGCAAGCTAAAAAAAAATTTAATCAGCCGTTAAGTCATACATTACAAGCATATGTAGACCTTGCTAAGTAAATGTTTACGTACTTCTTCTGTTAACTTTGTGTTTGATTTTTCTAGTGCATCAACCTTAGCCTGGAGATTGTTCACGGAAGCACTGTTGGTTGAAAGTTAAAATATTTTTTATTTTTTTTTTAAACACACTGATTACAGCTAAGAGTGTAACAGATGATGAAGGTCATATCAGAGTCAAGTAAGAGTACCTCAAATGTCTGTTCAATTCTTCAACGTAATTTTTCTGGTCAAGAATTGCAGTAATCTGTCCATCTCTTAAAAACAAAAAAGAAAATTATGAAAAACATCTTAATTTGTACAGGTGGACAGATTAAATTCCGATGTGCAATCGTTCAGCTAATTTCTAGTGCTATTTCATTAAAAACTGGATTTACATTCACTTACCCCTCTGTGCTCTTGCTGGTAGGTCCTCCATCCTTTAGGTACATAGAGAAATCAATAACACCAACCTAGAAGAAAATAAGTGTTCAGAATGAAGAGCCATTGGTTCTGTATTTCAATCATAGTTTGAAATGTCTACTATTACAAGGTGAGCAAGACAAATTCCATTATGAGCAATAACATAGCTTACTTTAACAGTGGGCCATTAAATTGTTGATGCATTTCCATTTAAGGAGAGCTCTTGTGTTAATTTGGTCCCTTGAAGATACAATTGCCTGCAGTAATCTAAATGAAAGGGTCTGCAAACCAAATTAAAATTCCCATTGTTTTAAACAACATGTTTTCAACGAGACATACAGAAGCAATAAATAATGACCCAATGATTACAAGGTAATGTTCTAAATATGGGTTGCTTTGAGATTTTATGTCACACTGTTGAGACCATATACCACCATAGTGATGAGAAAATATACCTGAGAATCCAGATCTTCTCCCTTCATGCAGAGATTTGCATCAATAACATTCAGACCCACTAACAGCCCAGCAATGACTGCTCCCTCTTCCTCCATCATCAGTGCATTTGCTTCATAAAATTCACTGTGAGAAATCAAAAATTACTCATACAGAACACGAAGTGGCATTGATACAAAAGTTCCTTATGGGGAAAAACAAAATGACTGTTGATTGTCTAAGTAATAAAATTGTTTTAGTAATCAAATGCATACCTAAGCAGATCCTTTCTGTTGATCAGAGTCTTCATGTAATCTGACAGTTTTTTCTGCATCAAGGCAAGACGAAGCCAAGCTCTGCCTCGCCCAATTGGTGTCCTGCATCAGGAAATTAACAGTCTGCTGAAAATGGCTTTAGTGGCAAAGTGATTTTATTTCATTATAACTAGAAAAGAATCAAGGCTAACTTAAGAGGTCATTTGAAAATCTGCTCATAGTTGCTCATCCCTGCCATTTTAGTCTGTGCTTTGGTTTACCCATCATTCAAAATTACTGTCGCTGAAATTGGTAGCACCACATTATGTTATTTGTTATTTACGTTATTTAAAATTAGAGTGTCTGAAATGTCTTGCTGTCATCATACAATATAGTGAAGAACAGAATACCAGAGCTCAGTAGGTTATACAGCTTGCAAAAATTTAACAAGTTGAAGTACATTTTTGTATGCCCTGTGCAAAAATCCATAAAATAATGGAAACAATACATTCTTACATAACAAGGGCCATAATTAGCTTAATAAAGGTTTAAAGGTTTAACCAATTGTTATGAAATGAAGAGCAAGACTATAAAAATTTTCACTGATTTGGAGGTATACCTGAGCCACTTTATTAAGCAGACTACAACAAAAATGTGCTTACTTGAGCCCAGGGAGGTCCTTCACACTGGCTGTGATTTCACCTGCTTCAGGTGTTAACTTCTCCACTAACTCCAGTGGACCCCAGAAGGACTTGTTCTGTCCAAGAAATGTCTTCTTGGCTATAATACAACAAAATAAACTGTATAAATTTCAGTGTTTTATAGCAGTGATGCAAGTATATGGTTAATAAATGATAAGGTTATCATCAGATGGGCATGCCTAGATGAATTTAATTCACCCAAAAATACCATTGAACACCTAAACATCAATCTACTTCATCAGTGTTTTCATTTGCAAAGCTATTAATCCAATTAATTAAGAATTTGAATGAGCAGAAGAGCTATCCTACTTTTCAGGCCATGCTTAAGACAGTGCTCCATCACTACAAAAAATTGCTGCAAGGGAGCGTAGTCCGAGTCCAGGGTCCGCCCAAGGTTGAGAGCAGACTCAATAAGCCCCTTTATGCTCAGCTTGGCCATATTCATCAGGTTGAGCCTCTCAATTGCAATGGGATCCTTGGGATCTAAAGAGAGTGAGAGGAGGGTTACTGCACATCTTTACTGCTCAATATTACATTTAGGTTACATAAAATGGCACTCAAACCAAATTTAGTATATCAATGATTTAAGAGAAAGTTTGTCACAAAGGACTTGACAGCGATTAAAGTGTGAACGAACAACATACACGTAAGCCATGACCTTTATATCAGCAAGTATAAATTGGTATTTTAAAGTTGGGTGAAAGTAGGGAGAATTTTCTGAACAATGAATGTCAGTGCTCAATATAACCAAGAATACAAATTTCCAACCATCATCAACAAAGAAAGATTTCAAAACTCATGAAATAAAATTACTGCAGTACTATGTATTATAGACACTCCTCACTTAATGACTGAGTTCCGTTCCTATGACTAGGTCGTTAAGCAAATTGGTCGATCAGGGAGGAGCCACACCTTACCGATATTTCAAGCATACTGTACTGGTAGTGTTTGTATCAACCATCTTTAAATATTGTTTTAATTTGACCTTTGCACCATTTATAACATTTTTATTTTATTGTCCATGTATTTTGTTTATAAATGTTTATACGGTAGTGTATTGTATACTGTAATAAACAGAATAGAGTAAATCAGCTGTAATATACATTGCCAACATCTTGTACAAATTTAAAATAAAGTACAAATAAAGTACAAATTTATAGACGAAACATGTAGTCTTGGAGATTGCAAATGCTAGTGTAGTGACAGTCAGTAAACAGGTAGATCATTAAATGAGGAGTCTGCATTTTCAAGTGAATATAAAGAAACCATTGAGTACCAAGACAATAATATTTCACTACTGACACAACAAGAGTGCCCTGCAATCCCCCCTCAGCTGCAAAAGCAAAACAGCTGAAAGCAGTGATTAAATGTGTCAAAGCAATACAATACAGCAGAAAACCCATATGACCTCTGATCAAGTAGATGGAAGAATTAATGCAATAAGGAAAAAAAGCATTTTCCAATAAAAACTAGAATGCTGTAAATTATATATTAGACTATAGAAAGAGAAAGAATTGAAAAGGGATTAAAGGTTGCAGGCTACAGTATATATTATTGAAAATTAGCCCTGTCACATTATTACACAATCACCTGATCGTGATTATTTGAATTGACTGCGTAGTTTTTGCATAATCGTTAGAATAGTCTCTATTCATCTGTATAAAAATAGCTGGATGAGACAGAACCATCAAAATTCTATCACTATTTCCACATTGTTTTCTACCATGTAATGTTTGGCTGGTGCTTGTTTAATGACATCATCTCATTGAGTTTCTGAACCAATCCATACATTTTAACCTTTATGTGGCTAATTTGTATTGCTTTCGCAGTATAAAGGCTAATGCAGAGTGTACATGTAGTGATTTCTTGTCATAACAATGCAGATGTGCATAAAATAAATATGCAATAGCACATAAGAAGAATGCGTACTTGCGTATCAGTTATGCGCATCCATGAATATAAAAATGGCTGAAGGAAACACAAAATATGCCAAATTTCATATTTCAGTTTAGAGTGAACCAAAGCTGTATGTATACCAAAATACCATGTCTTTCGATAGCAGCAATTTCAACAGATGAAAACTAAATATCCTGTATCTGAAATGTTAGTTAAGTGTTGACCAAAAAAACACGTACATCCATACACCATAGACGACTGGAGTGAAGTCTTAAAATGACAAGCAAAGAAAATGGATCATTAACACCAGGGGTCTGTATCATGTTTCACAAAGCCGGATTTCTTGCTTAGCCATTGATTTTTTTTTTTTTTGCTTCCACTTAGGAACACACCTGCTCAGGAATCTTAAATAATTGGTTATTTTATATTTATAAATCAGAGTAGAACAATAGATGCCCATAATCAATCACATCCCAGAACTCCAGGAGTCAAAGCATCTGAAATTAAATAAAATTCAAAATTACCAAACATCTTAAATTGTTCTAAACTTATGCTCCATTTATTAACAATCAAAGTGAAACCAAAAATTGCAAAAAGTCACTGTGTCACTATAAAAATACTTTTGCATAACCTTGAGGTACCACCATCATCAGAAGTGGTCATATACATGCAAGCCTGGACAGGTTCCTTCCCTCATTCTATGGGGTTTCTCTTATCTATTAGTTTGTCCAGAAGTCCAAATAATTTTAATCCATGACTCAGAGGAGGGAGCAGACTCAGCCGATTTCACAGCATCACTGAACTGTTCCCACAGATTCAGCCGATTTCACAGCATCACTGAACTGTTCCCACAGACTCAGCAGATTTCACAGCATCACTGTACTGTTCCCAAGGTTTTATTATCAGGAGACTGTTTATCCCCGGACAACACAAAACTAATCAAGTTAAACCACTAGGCCTATATCACTACATGCCATAATTAAATTTATAAATGAGGCAGAAATACAGCAAAACACTATTATATAAAACTAGCTCAAAATAAAACAACTATTCTTAATTTACTAAATACAATGTAATGAGACTTACTGAAACTTGGCTTAGGTCTGAGGAGAACACTTTAATGAAGTCCTCAATACACAGTTACTTAAGTACACTCAGAGGCGTATCACCAAATTCTGGGCCCTATGCAAAACAGTGCCCCCCCCCCCCAACAAAAAAAAAACAGCCTAATCACACAAGACTTCACTGGAATTTGGTTTTATTTGTAGAATGACTAAAAGCTATAACCTAACATCATAGGCCTGCATGAAAACCGCTGCGTTGTTCATCAAATTACCATGCGAATGCGATTTCAATACGCGGAAGTGCGGCTGTTTAGAATGTGAATAGCGATCTTCACGCGAAGGCGGTACTACACGCCCCCCATGCAGGTAAAACAAAGAAAGGCGACATGGTTTACTTTTTGCCGATTTAACCAAATTTTAAAAACTTTAAATACCTCCGATAATGGACGTTTTGAAAAGAAGACAGATTACAGATTTAGCCAGCGGTTTTTCCATGATTCTACACGAACATTTCAGCGAGATATAAACTGAAATAGACGAGAAAACCCCAGGGGGTTAAGCAAACAACACAAAAAAAAATACTTATCTAGACTACATCATGTTAATCTATGTGTAATTTCGCGGTGGTATTGAAGTGTTTAATAATCATAGTTCATTTAATGTAGGCTATTTGCTTTCACATTTGGGCTCACCTTTCTTGGGAAAAAAGTTTGCAAGCAGTTGCTTTCCCTCATTTCTTTTTTTGTTTCTTTCCTGCCTCTTTTCTTTTTTGAAAACCGTTTTTATCTTTCTTTGGCATCATCTTCCAACACGGATTCAGCTGTTTCAGCAGAATAACCGCTAAATCAAATGCGCCTAGTTAAAAAGCCCGGTGAAGACTAAACCATTGCAAGGGGTGAGGGTGCTTGTCCTCAGGCACTGTAAGCTAGGACACAATTCAATCCGTCAACCGATTTATTTTCCCACAAAAATTACATTTACATTAGTTAACAATATTTATTATGATCTTTGGATAATATTAATATTTAAAGGAAAATAAAATTCCAGATTCCTTAGGGGCCCTCCCCCCACATGGGGCCCAGGTAACTACCACGCCCCTGAGTACACTAATGTACATTAACTGCTAATAATACAAAGTGGCACAGCAGCTAAACTTCAGGAGTTAATGAATAGCTTAAGACTAAGTTCTGCAATGAATCCTATGAATATGTTGAATACTATTGAGTGTGCATGTAATTAGGCAGTCAACAAAATTTATGAAGATTAGGAACAAATGGTGTGATGCAACAAGCTACTCTAAAGTAAATTAGAAGTATTTAATAGTCTTCATCTTACTCTCAATCGTTAAGTCAACATACTTCTCCAATCTACTGATAATGAGTACAACCTCTGATTACTGTCTAATAAATCTGGTGGTGTAACTGGGGATCCTGCAGCAAATGATTAACTAAGGGCACAATTTCCTTTTCTGGAGAAACTTCAGAGTAAATAATTCCAAGGAGTTTATGTTATTACATTAGCTAGGAGTTCTGTGACACATTCACTCTAACACTGCCTCTACAAATACTGATTCTATTTACTTGTTTCTCCAAGTTAACTGGCTATACCAGTTACAGGTTCTAAATCATTTTTCCCTGAAAAAAGTTTAAGTTTTGTAACAAGAAAAACTTCCATTAGGAAGTCTGCCTGATCTCTCTCAAGGTTGCTATAAACAAGAAGCTTAATATGGACCAGTATGATTAATGTCTATAGATCATATCTCTGACCTTCCAGTTCAATCAAAATTTTTAAAGAGCTGCTGTCAAGCAGCTGTACATTTTCCAATAATCAAAAAACTTGTTTATGATGCTTCACTCTGATTTCAGATAGAGAAGCAAGTCATTCATTGCATTATTTTGTCTGTGGAATGCCTAATAGGTTTTCTTGTGCTTTTGAACTTAACTCCCACAGTGGACACCATAGATCCTCATATTTTTCGGTGTAATAGAAGTTGGATAAGTGGAAGATGAATGTACAGTGGTACCTTGGTTTGCAAGCACAATTCGTTCTGGAAACGTGCTTGTAATCCAAAGCACTCGTATTTCAAAGCGAATTTTCCCATAAGAAATAATGGAAACTCAGATGATTCGTTCCACAACCCAAAAATATTCATATAAAAACGATTAATACAAAATATAAAGTAAAAATACATAAAACAAATTAACCTGCACTTTACATTTGAAACGAATCATGGATGGTGTGAGGGAGACGAGAGAGAGAGGAGGGTTATTTTGTAGGACGAGTTATACTATAACTAATGGAATCACTGCTATCTGTTGGCTCACTGGAATCTTTTTGTTTTTGTGTAACTTTAACAAGGAACCTATCCAATGACAGTTGCTTTTGCCTCCTTTTCGATTTTGCAGAAATGTGACATTGCTTTGTTGTTAAACAGATTCATCACTCGCACTGCTACGGCCTTATTCGGGTGGTGCTTTCCTACTGAATTTTGACTATACGAGTGAGGCACGCAGACCGAGACCAAGCATGGGAAACGATTACCCACAATCCCGCAGCGAGAGAGAGAACAACCATCGGCTGAGTTGTGATCACGTGACGCTAGGCAGACAAAGTGCATACGTAATATTTGTATTGCAAGACCTCGCTTGTTTATCAAGTTAGAATTTATCAACAAAAAAAAATTCTCGTCTTGCAAAACACTCACAGACCAAGCTACTCGCAATCCAAGATTTTACTGTATTATTTCTTCTTAGTATCTTCGTAAAGGTTCTTTCTTAGTTTAGGTCTTATCTATCTGGCTCTGTTAAGTCAGTTAGTGTAAATAATGAATAACCCAAATAACTAGCCATCATGCACGATGTTGAGAGGAGCTCTGTGCTGGACCCATTACTACTCTCCCCATATACACTATATTGGCCAAAGTATCAGGACACCCCTCCAGATCATTGAATTCAGGTGTTCCAATCACTGCCATAGCTACATGTGTATAAAAACAAGCACCTAGGCATGCAGACTGCTTCCACAAACATTTGGAAAGAATGGGTCACTCTCAGGAGCTCAGTGAATTCAAGCATGGTACCATGACAGGATGTCACCCGTGCAAGAAGTCCATTCATGAAATATCCTCGCTACTAAATATTCCACAGTCAACTGTTAGTGGTATTATAACAAAGTGGAAGCAATTTCGAACAACAGCAACTCTGCCATGAAGTGGGAGGCCACGTAAAATCACAGAACAGGGACAATGCATGCTGAGGCACATAGTGTGCAGAAGTCGCCAACCGTCTGCAGAGTCAATAGCTACAGACCTCACTGTCTTAGCTCAAGAACAATGCGTAGAGAACTTCATGGAATGGGTTTCCATGGCCGAGCTGCTGTATCCAGGCCTTTCATCACCAAGTGCAATGCAAAGTGTCGGATGCAGTGGTGTAAAACACGGCGCCACTGGACTCTAGAACAGTGGAGATGTGTTCTCTGGAGTGACGGATCACACTTCTCTGTCTGGTAAATCGATGGATGAGTCTGGGTTTGGTGGTTGCCAGGAGAAGAGTACGTGCCTGACTGCATTGTGCTAAGTGTACAGTTTGGTGAAGGGGGATTATGGTGTGGGGTTGTTTTTCTGGGCTTGGCCTTGGCCCCCTAGTTCCAGTGAAAGGAACTCTTAATGTGCTGGCATTCAAAGCCATTTTGGACAATTTCATGCTCTCAACTTTGTGGGAACAGTTTGGGGATGGCCCCTTCCTGTTCCAACATGACTGCGCACCAGTGCACAAAGCAAGGTCCACAAGGACATGGATGAGTGAGTCTGGTGGAACTTGACTGGCCTGCACAGAGCCCTGACCTCAACTCGACAGAACACCTCTGGGGTGAATTACAGCGGAGACTGCGAGCCCAGCCTTCTCATCCTACATCAGTCCCTGACCTCACAAATGCTATCCTGGAAGAATGGTCAAAAATTCCCATAAACACACTCCTAAACCTTGCAGACAGCCTTCCCAGAAGACTGGAAGCTGTTATAGCTGCAAAAGGTGGGCCAACTTCATATTAAAGCCTATGTATTAAGAATGGAATGTCATTAATGTTCATGTGAGTGTAAAGGCAGGTGCCCCAATACTTTTGGCAATATAGTGTATGTTGCCCCTTGGAAATATTAAGCTTGACAATTTTCATCAAGGACAGTAGGGACCCCAAAATCATTCATGCTAATCTGATGACAAATTCTAATGAATCAGAATTGCTGCATCAATGCAAGTCCCAACAATAACTTATGATATTACATTTGTCATGAAACTGTCATACATTAGAAGCATTTCGGAAACCTCCTTTGTTCAGATAAATAATATTGCAAAAGATAGAAAAAAGATGCTGTAGTCTAGAATAAAGCCTACTTCTTTAATACATCTCTAACATTCCATATAACTGCATTTATTAGCTATTGAATATCCTGTTTTGGTGTCCACTGTAAACTAGTTCACACATAGTTAATTTAATGCTATATAGCTACTAATGATAACACATAAGCCCATTTTCTACTTTCTCCCTCCAGCCCCCCCATCATCTGGCCCTGAGATTACAGATTATCAAGTAGACCTAGAGACCCTGTGTGACAGCTCATGGTCAGTCATTCTCAGGCGTTATTTATAATAAGCAGCGCTTAATTTGTAAATCAGAAGGTGCTGGAACACGAAAGACTGAGGGGTAATGAGGCGGGCGCAGCTCCCGGAACATGCTATGTATTTTCAAGAATAATTAAAAACTAATAAGGATGTGAAATTGGTCTGTAAATTAAAACACATACCTATTTTATTTTATATATATATTTTTTTTTACCAGACATCTGCCAAACGCAGACAAATAGGTGGCAGAAGGCAGCCATAAAGAGAGCCCGGAACATTGTTCCAGCAGGATCTGGCACAAATTAAGCACTGATAAGTACAACATTTTAAGCGCTATTTATTTTATTTATTTATTTATTTATTTATTTATTTATTTATTTATTTAATGTTCTGAAGTTTCTGTAGACATTACAGACATATCTCCTTTAAAGTGATCTGGGAATATGGTTCTGGATTTCCCAAAATTTTGATTTTGGTTTGAAATAACACTGTAAAGCACTTTGTGACAATCTTGGTTTTTTTTTTTTAATTGCTTTATATGAAATAAAAATTGATTGACAATACATAAATAAAACAAATCTGCACACTTGTTCATTCAATGCAGGTGGGGGTATGTTATGAATCAGTGCTCAATAAGAGCTACAGCGTGCACCGTGACTGTTGATTTTGGGTAAGAGAAAAAATATTTTTTTTATTTATTTTTTTTTTTTAAAAGTAAAATGTTAAAATGTCAAAGAGTCATGCACTACACCTAGAGTTATATGGCAGCATAATGAAATGAGGTGGTCATCCCAGCTCGGGGACTGGAGACGGCATCTAGATAACTTGCTTGGGGTGGTAGGAGCTTGATAGTGATGCCGTAATACGCACCTTTAAACTCATCAAGCATTTGCATTTCCGCCACCAAACTTGTGAAATCCTCCCATGAGTCTTTGCGTAGAAAAATGAAAAGGAGGGGAGAGCACAGAAGGTCATGCATATTATGGCTTGAAGATAAATGCAACAAAAAACCCACCAATGCTACATGTAGAGTGAGGGTGTTTGACTCCTTAGTAGGTCTACATTAAACAAATGTTATTGTTTAAAAAATATCCACCCATAATTATTACCATCTTAAAGCCATTTCAAGAGAAGCTTGAAGCTCGTGTAATGTGAGGGTTATCAGTCATCCCCTTCTATTAAATCTGTAGGCTGTGAGCTTCAATGAACAACACGACACACCATTTGCTTAATTCAACCCACAGCAAGGTAGCAATCCAGTTAAAAGGAGACATCACTCTACAGAGATGGGAGAGTGGAACAGAGTGTTCGCAACCGCCTGAACAAAAGAGTAATTATATACCATATAGCAAAATGAGATAAAATAAATTTAGACATAGTTAACAAAAACACCTACAATCTAGTATCGATAATGTCACATGTTAGGGTATGTCGCAAGAAATGGTCTGGGTTAATGTGCTTCTCTGGTAAGGCACCTTTTATCCCATAGCAAGTTCAGTTCCACTCTAGTCCAGTTGGTGGTAGTATTGCATTACCACACTAAAGATCACTAAAAAAAAAAAGAGGCATTAGAAAACCAAAATGATAACCAGAAAAGTATTAGTGGATTAGCAATGAAGCTAACTTGGAAATTTTAACAATCATGTGAAACTGAATAGCACAAGATTGTTTGGTGAATTTATTTGAATGTATACCAAGTAAATTGGTTCTGGTATATACTGTAAATTTAGGTGGGTTTGGAGGGGAGTTCACCTGGGATGCCAGGGGACACTGTTAGGCCTTCTTCATCTCCAGAATGCTCATCAATGAGATGGGAAAAAGAAGGATCCCAGTGAACCAACCAACACCCTATTTGGAAAACAGTGCTCAAGTCAATGACTACCCAGTTTGTCACTGTCTGTAAAGTATATATATATATATATATACACACATCAATTCTGGCTGCAAGGGTAAAGCTATTTTGAATCTAATATCATGTTCAACTAGTATAACTAATCTGAGCATCGCCGAGAGCCTAAAATTCTGTCGTGTCTATTTGTTGAGCACTGTTGTTATAGAGTGTTGGGTTTGACAGCCTAGCCTAGACTGGTATCGTACTACTGATGCTAACTTGGTATCACATATTTCATTATTGTTCCTGGGTCCATAAATGAAGGTTTTGGCAATATGAATCCTAATAAAGACACTTTGGGGAAGATGCAAATGACAGCAATATCCTGCAGGTTAACATCTACTTCTATAGCCGACTACTATGTCTCAGCAAGCAATGATAACTGCGAAAACTGGAGCACTGTCAGGAATGACTGACTGATAGCAGGACTTAGGGTGCACTAGAGTTGTGTGGGTCAATTACCCTACTCACAGGTTCTCATCATAAGGACATCGCCTTACAAACTACAAGCACTAAGAGAGGAAGACAGCTCAAAGGTCCCATGAGAGGTGGAATGGAAAATGAACTAAACAGGATCAATTATGTGGAAATAACCACGTGGCATGACTGAAAGAGCAAAGAATCCTCAGGGAATGAATGTGTGGGAGGATAAAGGTTACGACTCATAGGACCCTGCAAATCCTTTAAGGCAAGGCCAAGTGAAGTGGGAATGGCCAAAAGTAACCATGCGCTGCGATAGCAAGTCAAACTAAGTGGATGTAGACCTGGGCTGAGCAGCATTTCAGATGGGTGGCAGGAAATGCAGAAAGGACTGCAACAGGAAGATAACCCTCAAGAGGACTGTTAGAGGAAAACACCCAGCAGTGACTGGTTCAGAGAATCAAGGCATGAAGAGAAAAAGGGCAAGGAGAAGGAAATGAAATGAAATTAAGTGAAATGAAATGGCTGAGGGTGAGCAAACAAGAACTATGGAGAAGGCTAGCTCAGAATCTGCCCATATCAGAAATATCAATGTGAGATGAAAGAGTAAGCTAAATGTATCAGATTATTTATGAACTGTGTAGGGAAAGAATTGGGAAAACAATACCCCAGAAAAGCTTCCCTGGAAAAAGTGGGAGAAGACAAAACGAGATTCTGCAGCTCACTGGTACTCAGGAAAGCATGGATAAAGGCAGAAGAGCATGAGAAGCAAGGCATGAAAGCACTTTCAGATCTAATTATTAATTAGATAATCTGCCTTGTGGTGGGTACTGTGGGCCCAAGAGCAGAGAAACAGGTAGAATGAAATTGGCAAGTTCTTATAAAAACACCTTTAAATTAGAGGTGGGCGATAAATCGATTTTATTGATTAATTCGAATTTACAGTTCAGGACGATGTGTTTTTATGAAAATCGATTTTATTGCGTAGAAAGCTTGATGGGCCGAATGGCCTCCTCTCGTTTGTAAATTTCTTATGTTCTTATGTTCTTATTGCTGTACTTATTTTACACACGAGCGTCCAAAAGCGGAATTAATGCGACGCACCGTTCTTCACAGGTAAATTAGCGCAGCGCACCCAAACACTGTAGCGGCTTCAAAAACAACATGGCAATTAAATGGTTCGGTTTTGCGCCGTCGGACACAGACCAAACAAGTCCTCGTTGCAAAGTCCGTTTAAAAACTTGCAACCAAAGGAAGCAGCACGACAAATTTATTCAAGCACCTAAAGCAGAGGCACGCAGCGGAGTGGGACAAGTGCAGCTCCCAGCGAAATGAAAATACCCGCAGCACCAGCACAACATCCAAAGTTAAGCAAGCAACCGTCCCTGGCACGTTTTCGAACTGTATGCCATCTGATAAGAATGGGGCACGGTGGAAGGCGATAACAAACACTGTCACGATATATATTGCAAAAGACATGGTGCTCGTATACATACTGTGGAAAAGCCGGGATTCATTAACATGCTAAAAGTTTTTACAAGTTTCTAAAAGTGTTTACCATGGCGTGGTCTGCCATCTCACAAGCATTTTTTTTTTTGGCTTGTCAGATTGCACTTTAACTCTAAAGTAAAAAAAAATAAACAAAATAAAGTTAAAACTTGTTTTGAACCATTTATTTGTCATCCATAGTTTGATTTTGAGTAGGGGATTGGGAAAATCGATTAAAATCGAAAATCGGATTTATTGTGAAAAAAAGATTTTATTTTTAGGCCATATCGCCCAGCTCTACTTTAAATATATCAGGGCTCTACTTGAGAAGATTGAGTGGAATGCTGAATGCTTTGGTATTTCCTTCAAATTAAATCTACAAATCAGGATAAGAAAAAAATAATCATTTACACTTCATTTACAAATTCCTAAAATATTCCTTAAAAAATTAAGCAGGCAGCCATTTTATGTAAATTGAAAATGACATTAAACAACTGAAGACTAAAATGTTTTAAACATGTATTGTTAACATAATTTGGACCTAGTTCTGGGCGATATCGTATCAATATTATTTCGCGCATGCACAAATGCTTCAGATGACAGGCAAAACATGTGGCCGAACGCCAGCTTTTCGGTACTATACGGACGTTTATTTATGGCCACAATTTCTTAAGCAGATTAATAATATGACTAAAATCTTAATGAGGCGTTTTATGAAGCCCAAAACTTAGTAAATTCGGCATATCCTTATGTTTAATAAACGTGTCAGACTTTAAACTGCAAAAAGTACCGCCACACCATCGATGTCTTTTTACCTTGTTTATCTGCAAGATCTCCTCTTTTAAAAGAAGTCGTGGCTGCTGAGCTGTTCCCTTCTTCAGACACTTCAGTGCAAATCGCACTAAAGTATATCAAACATAGTATACCACACATAGTATACCATAACAGCATGATGTGGTGTGCTCCACTAACCAAATTTAATAAAGATAAAAGATAAAGAAAGTTTTGGGTGTCACAAAACGCATGTCATTAATATTTTAGCTGTATTACTAATCTGCAGACCATTGGGCATAAATAAATATTAATATAAATAATATATTAACATAAACAGTATTGAAAAGCTGGCGTCCGGCCAAATGCTTCGCCTTTGACCTGAAGCCCTGGTGATTATTGCGCATGTGCCATATTATATCAATATGATATAGACAAGCCCTACTTCGGCCTATCAATTAGCACTCACACATCTTGAAAATCTCTAAGAAAAATCTAAAATGAATGCAAATATGCCTGTACAAAGCATTCTATAAATCTGTTTTTGCATGATAGCAGTTTGATTTTCTTACAAATTGATGCAAATTTGAAGTCATTCTGACGTCTACTATCATCACAAATATAGATCTGAAAAGATTTTATGTCAATAAAAATGACAAAACGGATAATTTATATTGTGGTCCTGTTTATAACTTTTCTTTAAATCTGCATGCTTTTCAGTTTGAAATTAATATGAGGACAATATTGTGATTATATTATTGATCTTCCTTTGCAATATTAAATTTAAGGTAAAAAAAAAAAAAAAAAAACATCCAATGTTTGCCTAGAAGGCAGGTTGTGGATAAAAAAAAAAAAAAAAAAACATCCAATGTTTGCCTAGAAGGCAGGTTGTGGATTCTGTTTCTGTGTTCCTGTTACATGAGGATAACCCACTACACTATCATAGTGCAACAGTTGAGTTTAAATAATTGTAAATCCACATTCACATTCATCGTTTACATTATCTCTGTACAGGTTATGCAGTCGGAAGATGGATGGATCATGAGGAATTGTTTTTCAGATAATGTTCAATGTGATTAGATTTTACCTAAAACTGTCTAAGCTACACATATATTTCTGAAAAACACAACACACAAAATAGTCCTTGTATCCACATCACATATCATATACCTATCAAATGGAACCTACAAAAATAGATGAAATTTAGTATACTTCATCTACACAACTATAAAAATAATGTACTGACCAAAATTATGTTTTTTTCTGATACTACACCATATAACTAGTCAGAATTTCAAATAGAAACAAGGTGAAACAACTTGTAATGCATCGTATAGTGGATTATTATTTTCAGGCAAGTGGCAGAACGTCACACAAGTAAAAAGTGCAAATCTTTGTATATTTAATTTCACTTATTGGAGGAGAGAGGAACAGTAGGTTCAGATGAACCATTTCCATCAAATACTGCATAGAGGTCTAGGTAACTGCCTTAATTATTGTACAAATGCATTTATCAGCCTTTTGTATTAGTTAATTCTCTGATACTGAGATTAAAACAATATATTAAATACACGCGATTAACATACAACATGTTTAAAAGTTGTATTTACAAATAAATATGGCAATAAAAAGTAATAAAAAACTATTCTGAATTTATCAAATTGATTTGTATTATTTATCATTATTGAAATGTACTTTATAGTGGTAAGTATGGATATCCTGAAGTACAACAGACATTTAGAGACACCAAATAAGCAGTACTATTTTAGTAAACAGTAAATGCAACACTTATAATTCAGCTTCAAGCAGGCTGAAGAAAAATCTTCATTTAAGTGAATATGCACTGAAAATGCTAAGTAGGCTGAAATTTCTCTTGTCCATTAAGAGGGCCGGGCTCATTTAAATCAATCAGATAAATGCTCTTCATAAATATTTCTACAGCAAATGACTGTTAACAAGACAACTTTGGATGTAAAATGAGTGCTTTACATGACAATGGGAGACATTTGGAGAAGGGTCTGGTTGCAGAACGTGCACTCTCCCCTTTTGGACTGTGCAGAATAACAAGAGAGCTCGGTGTATTTCAGCCCCACGTGACAAGATTATCTGATTATTTTTTTTAAAAATGGAATTTCAATCTATTTCTACCTTCTTCAGTATGACGTAAAAGAAAAAAAGTATGGCTTACAAAGATCACGTTCCAGCCAGACACCTGCCACCTGTTCCTAACTACGTGTATCATGTGACAACTTCATAACCTTCAGCATAAAGTTATTCTAATTTTTATAGTTCTGACTGAATTTGCATTAAACATTATGTAATGTAATTTTAATCTATACAAACTAAAAAAGACCAATAAGTTAAAAGCAGATTTATAGTACAGTAAAATCCCGTTATAGTGGACTCGCTTATAACGGAATTTCGCTTATAACAGAGAAATAATTTGGTCCCCAGGGCCGCTTTTAGCTGTAGTTTTGTCCGGCTATAACCGACATGCAGCTCCGCCTACGAGGCGCGTGGCGTGCCGGCGATATCCAGCGCAGATACCTAGTCGCGATTATTAATAGCGTCTGGTCGGGTAAAGTTGCATTACTACATACTGTATACAATATAATAATCTATACCACAATAGTGTGTCTGCTGGGGTGTGGCATGAGTAAATGGTGTCCTGTAGCTGTGTTCTGGGCATACAGCAGCTCTGGATATAACGGACTTTGGATATAACAGACTGTTTTGCCAGGTCCCTTGACGTCCGTGATAAGTGGTTTTTATTGTTCTAAATCATGCAATGCATTTCTATCTTGGTATTCTCATCTTTACCCCTAATATTATCGGTAAAATTGACACACCATGTTTAGAGAAACTATAGCCACTTTCTTCCATTCTGTTTTCCCAGATTTCCCTTTGTAATCAAAGCACCCTTTAATTCCACAATTTTATTAAGCTAAGCTTCAATGTACTGCTAGACTTTAAGGTCCTGGTGCCACTTGAAACCACTTGCCGTGGGCTACTCATTTACATATTTGCATTTTGTACTTCTCTTGGGGTTCCCCAGTAATGTAGAATTATGCTTACAATTCCAGGTGATATAATTCATTATGATTTGTATGTATCTTGTTTTGTTAATTTATAGTTTCCTGCAATAAAGCAGATAATCTCAATAACTATACATACATTTAAAACTTAAATTCTGACTATTTAAAAATAAAATCAAACAAACGCATAAAACGGAGCCTGCATGTTACAGTTTGGATCTGTAATATACATATAAAACAAATTGAACACAGTTAACCATAACACTAAACAAAATCAATTCGCCAAAAAAAATCCGACTCTCGATTGAATTTTCTGAATTTAAATGATATTGATTTCTTCCCCCTCGAAAGCACAAACCAAGGGTTTGGGGAACCACATTATGTTGTGCCAACAATCAGGACCGTTCAGTATTGTATCATTCTTTAGAACTTCTTTAGAAAAATGTACGAAAAATATCCAAATAGAGTAACATATACACATTAACGGCTAGATGTATGCTAAAATGGACAGGTCTGAAATTTAAACCTCCCCGAAAGAACATTACGAAACAATCCTGTTTAACAAAACAACCATTTTGTTCAGTGTGACTTGCAAACTCTGTGCCCGCATCTGTAAGCCATGATAATGTTCTGTGGCGCATCAGAATCAGGATCATCTTCGGCAAATAACCACGTCTGTCTGGTGCTCGAAGGGGAAATATGACTTGGCGTTTTCAAACACTGACGCGCATTTAATGACAGTGATGAAATGTCCAGCCAAGCGGCCTCACCCGTTTCTCCCCGAAGCGGCAGCCAGGTGCCGCGCACAGACTCACCCTCATGGGCCGGCTCCGGGTCGGGGGTGAGGGAGATGTCGTTCAGCTCACGCAGACAAAGCCATTCCCCGTCCACGGAGACTCGAAAGTTGCAAAGGTAAATCGTCTCCCTTGCAGCCTGTGTGATTTTGTCAGTGGTGGGGGTGGGGGCATCACTCTGAGGTGTCAGATCAGACATGATGACTCAGCTTTGGTACCACAGCACAAAAACAGCTCTCCTCCAGCCTAGGAACAATGAAGGGAAAAAAAAACAAAGAATTTTCTTTCTGCCGGTCTCCTCCGCTAGGAAACGGCGCAAAGAAAACAACAGGAGCGACTAAGACTGAGAGCAGCCCACCCCCAATAACGCAGGAGCACAAAAAGGATGTTCTCCGTTTCTGTTCCCTTGCCTCCTCCGGGTTTTCTCCCCCACAGACAAGTGAGGAGCTAAAGTCACTGTCTCTACAACAAATTCTCCGCTATTTTCCAAGGACCTCAGAGGCAGCGCGAACGGGTGATGCTGCTGAAATCGCGGTCTTCCACTCCCCTACTCAACCTGCTTGGTAATAATTGGATTGGCTGCGCGTACTGCACTGGGTGTAAACCAAGATGGCCGTCTAATGAGAGGTGCTGAGGCTCAGGCATCACGTGACCAGATAGCAGATGGGTGGGGTGGCTGGATGGATGGATGGGTGGGTTGGGGAGGGGATTAAAAAAACCTGCTCCCGAGATGCATCACTATGATTCGTGATGCAAATGCGGATCATATGTATCTATCATTTTAAATACACTTTTTTGGCAGAGCGTATCAATGTTGTTCTGAGGTTATTGCTGAATATATAATGAAAGCATGGCATATGAATTTAGTGTTAACATTTCAGTGAGAAGTCTAAATGGATGTGTATAAGCAGTAAATAAAAAAGAAATCACATAATACAGTTAAGCCTACCATAAAAACCAAATGTTAAGCTGTACTGAAATTATTATTAATTGAACATAAAGCATATGCATACTTTGGACTATTAATAATCTTGCCAATGCCTGCAAAAATCCCAGTCAGTTGAAATGGAACCCAGCCTTCACTGTAAGAAAGGTCAGGTTAATTAATTACACAGGCAAGAAGCTTTCTGTTCAGTTAATTCACAGGTGACATTTTCAAAATTCTATTAATTAGTTTCACTGTTAATAAGTGATGGCAGTGTATTTTTAGATATTATAGAAATATACTCAACAGGCATTGTGATATTGCCGTTATGTTTTACATTTTTATATGATTTTATGTATAATACAAATAATTATGGAAACATAACATATTTGTGGTTATCTATCACACTGATTAGTTCAAAAAAGGTGAACAGCAACCCTGAATAAAACCAAAGTGCTAATATGGAAATTTTACGTAACGTCCTGATTTGTTTATATCTGGAGCCACTTTCAGGGGACACCCTCAGCACCTTAAGCACGTACAGTGCGTGGATGCTTTTGTCATAGTCCTCACTGGCCACACGTCCAGACAGTTCTGGTCTGTAATCATTCATATTTGTGTTAAATCTAACAATCTGTTTAAGCTCTTTTAGTTAGTCATTTCTTGTTCTTCGTTTACAGTGAATTCTTATGTCTGAAAAACAGCATTTTTTAATACTCTTAGTGTAGGGGTGCTGTACTCAAACATGCAGTTCAGATTGGGATTGGGATATGGGTTGCGCCCATAAAAATGAATGGAGAGTTACCACAATGATAGGAATATATGAATTAGTTTTTTGTGTGTGTGTGTGTGTGTGTGTGTGTGTGTGTGTACATGCATTGTGTAGACCAAATGGGGATTTTTTTCAGTCTCTACAAGGGAAACTAATTTTTATAAAAAATTGTGAATGCAATCAAAAAAAATAATAAGCAGGTTGTCATAGTTGGTATGATGGTTATGCCCATAGAAATGAATGGAGAGTTCCCATAAGGATATGAATACAGGGACTGTGTGTGTATACCCTATGATGGACTGATGACATCATCATCTGGGTTTTGCCCCTGCCTTATACTGCATGGGAATGTCTCCAGGCCCCTTGTGACGCTGCCTAAACATGAGTGGTCTTCAGCTGCATCTATTTTAGTTTTGTGCCACAGGGGGGCGAAATTGCTACAAAAATTTCCCATTTTATACTACAAATTTAATCCTGCAAAAAAAAAAAGTTTTCTTTGAGTGGGTTCTCCAGATATTCTGGTTTTCTCCTCCAGTCTCAACACATGTAGTTGAGTGAATTTGTTTCTCTAAATTGCATATTATTTTAGTGTGTGCTCTTTGTTAAACTGCTTTGCCATTCAGGATGTTCTCTGCATGGTCTCCTCACACAGGATCCTGGGTGCCTCTGCTCATACTGAATGAGAAGATATGAGAGTGGATGGATATGCTTATGTTACAGCATACAGTTAATATAAACTATTAATATAAAATATATAGCAGAAATACATGGCTTTTTCAATACACCCAAAGCGCTTCACAGATGCAATGGGGAGCCACTTCTACCACCACCACTGTGTAGCCCCCACTTGGATGATGAGACAGCAGCTGTTCCGCACCGGTACGCTCACCGCACAGTAGCTAAGGTGGTGAAGGGGCAGGAGGGAATTCACCAGTTAGATATAGGAGATTATTAGGCAGCCAGATTTAGAAGGGCCACAGTGGGCAATTTAGCCAGGGCATTGGGGTACCACCCCTACTCTTTTGAAGGATACGCAAGGATCCTTTATGACCTCAGAGAGTCAGGACCTCGGTTTCACACCTCATCTGAAGGACGGCACCATTTATTACAGCACACTGTCCCCATCACTGCACTGGGGCACTGGGATCCACACAGAGCACAGGATAGACTAACCTCTTGGCCACAGCAACACCTCTTCCAGCAGCAACACTGCTTTCCTAGTTGGTCTCCCCTCCAAGTACTAGCCAGGCCTAAACCTACTTAGCTTCAGGTGGATTACTGTAGTCAGAGCTGCAGGTGGTTTTTACGCCTCCAGGATATAGGATATGTAACAAACCACACCGGGTTCATACAGAAAACACCACACACTTTAAGTGCCTACCACATACCTAACATACAACAGATATATAATACAAAATGGTCATGCCATCTCTCCAGGGGCAAGCCGGCCAAAATAAATAGATTCCCCAAACTACCTCCACCCAACACACACTACTACCCACCAAAAGAAAGAAAAGAAAAACACTTACAGCTACCCCATCTCTCTGACTACGCCGAAACAGGTACAAAGGAGGCATACAAAGAAAATGGCGCTTACCCCCTTCCAGCAGTGGTAGACAAACACAATCAACCACACAAACAAAAAAAAAGAGTATCACAACAGAAAAATACCACAATAGCACACATAACATAACAAAAAGTCCAGCACAAAAATATCTCTCCTCTCTCCTCTTGCTGACCTTTATAACCTCCCAGGAAAAAGGGCCTCCTGACGTCATAGCCCCCCCTGTAGGGCAGGAGAGGAACAGGCAGAGAGAGAGAAGGAGAGAAGTCTTAGTTATTTTACTTTCATCTTCTATCTGTGCTGTTTATTTTATTTTAATATTTTACATTTGCTTTATGCTATTACATATGCATATCCATCCACTTCTCATCTTCACACTGTTTCTGGAGAGGGCTGCAGTGGTAGCACTCAAAAGAGGTCTGATCAGACCCTTCTTTTCACAAGACGAACCTTTACTCTGAGGGATTCTGAAGTGTCCCCAAACCATAGGGCAGGGGTGGCCAATCTTATCTGCAAAGGGCCGCTGTGTATGCGGGTTTCACTGCAACTCACTAATTAGATTACTAATTAGAGGACTGATTGGCTGAAGTCCTCAGACCTGGATTTGAACAGCTGACCTACAGGTTATCCCAAAAACATCACCATCTCCTAAATATAACAGAAACTTAAAATATCGCAATGTGAACATTTTTTGCCTGTCCTCATCTGTTTACTCTTCACCTCCACAGGTGTGCTCACTGTCCACAAAACTGCACCGGCCGAATAGATTTATCTATCAGTCTGATGTTCCCTGGCCCTGTACCATTCATGCATGATACAAAGGAGCTCCTTCACTAAATTCAAACTCTGAAATCATAAACAGGAGCGGAGACAAGATGCACCCCTGTCACAGACACAGCATGGCGTGGTGAAGGCGGAAATTAGGGTGACAATCCACTGACGGCTCAGGTGACAACAGGGGTTTATAAAATAACTAAAAACACACCGGGGAAAATATATCAAAGCAAACAAACTACAAGGGGCCAGAAGACAGGGAAAAATAAGGAATTAACTAAAAAAAAATTAAGGAATAAGCAAAGGAGCAGACCTAGAAACTAAACTCTGCTACTCTGTCATAGAGAAAGAAAACTTAAGCTTTGCAGTTTTAATTATTATTCCTTTTACAGATTCTTACTGTACAGTATATGTGTAAAAATCAGTTTAAGCTTTACCTCTGCTGCTTTTGCATGAGCACAGCATGCGTTATCCGAGACAATCGTAATCATTTTCATCATGCCGTTTAAATCATTCGAAGACGGGTTTGTGAGAAACTTATAAACTTGTTTTATAAATACCCTAATAATTGTTGCAACAAAATCACATCTCATGGAACGCACACTATATGCCTACTATATTAGTATATTCAACAAAATACTTTTTAATTTCTTGTTATGCCATCCAGATCTTTTTGTTATATATGTTCTTATGGTCAAATCGCATTTTTTTGGTTTTTACTTTGTTTATCATTATTTTCTAAGTTTGCAACTGTTTTCAAGGTGGCACTTGTATTGTGTTTCAGCAACAGGCTATTTGGATTACCAGTCGACAAAGAAGCCATTTCAAGTCCCACCCCAAAGTACTGAAGTACCAAAGAAGTACCCCAGCTGGTTTGGCACTTTCGGTACTAGAACTTTTGGTACTGGTACTCCACCAGAAGTCAATGGAAAAGCAAAAGTACCGAAAGTAGCATACTTGGTGTGGTGGAAAAGTGCCCAAAAACAAAAATTAATAAACAAAACTGGTGAGACTTTCGCTGTAGGTTAACAGCCTCTGTGGCACAGTCAACCCCCTGAGCCATGCAGCAGTCTGAGAAGCTCGAGACCCGAAGGGTTAGGGGCGGACGTATGCTGACCCTGACACACTCCTCGCCAGACGCCAACTGCTACTCTAAACTACGTTGATTTCGTTCAGAGGATGCAGGCACAACTTTTACGACATTCATACAGGGTCCAAATTGTTCCAGAACCCCAGTACCCCATTTTTGTATAGAATATCCCACAGTATGCCCTAGGGCGCATCGACAAAGCACATGTAGGCTATGCCAACAAAGTGTACACTGTTCTGTGGCTAGGCCAGAATCTACGTCATTTCTTCTAATCTCTTGGTACCCTGACACGGTCTTTACAAGTTTATAACAAAGCACTTTGGTATCCTTTTTCACACTGCTTCTTCATTTCATCATGCTGATTTTCATCTACAGAGTAAAGTGCCACTGTCTGTTCTTTGAAATGCTTCTTATTCCCCTTTTCTAGTCTGTTTATGTTTATGGCCAACCATTGCAGACTCATGTATCTCCCGACTCATACACCCAACCTTACATCACACTTGTTTCGTCAGAAATA